AAAAAACTAAACAATCAAAATATACATTCTATAGAGAGTTGAAGATGAATATTTTTGTTTGTCAAGAGGACGACATTCCAACAATTTAGAAGTTCACATTCCATTATTATAGACATAAGGATAATATCGTTAAATTTTTTAATTATTATAGAATTTTAAGTTATAAAAATGATTATAAAATATTAAAAACATTATAAAAAAAGATTTGGGCAAATATGATATTGTAAAGGTTTAAGAAGGACAAATATGATATTAAGAAAATAAGCTGGGCAAATATAATATTTTGAGATTTAAGAAGGGCATATATGAAATTCTCCCATATATATATATATATAAAATATATATATATATATATATATATATATATATATATATATATATATATATATATATATATATATATGGAAAACGACTTACAAGTCCAACGAAATTTTCAAACCGTTCAAAAAACTCAATTATGTTTTGTCTGTTCAAGAAAATTCAACCAACTTAATCTTTTGTCTAAAAAAACTCAACTAACTTACACTTTCGTTCACTTCTCATTTTGGGTCAACCGGCTATTGAAAGTTAACTAATGACATGACTTATGACTTGTAATTAAATATCAGAAAATGACTTGTAAGACCAACGAAGTTTCAAAACCGTTAAAAAAAACCCCAATCATGTTTTGTTTGTTGAAAAAAACCCAACAAACTTATGCTTTTGTTCAATTCTCATTAGAGGCAACCAGATTCATTACATATACAACTAGTTGGCAAATGATATGATATTATATTTAATGACATGGAATTAACAAATTAGAATTTCCCTTTATATATTAATTAAGGGCTTGGAGAAGAGAAAACAAACGGCGTCTGTGTTCGATCTATTGTAATAGCTACTTTTTATTCTTCCTCTCAATCGTTGATGTCCAACTCAAGATCTACAAATAAGATATTTGATGATGAAAACCCTTGTGGATGTGGACGCCCTTCTTGGATTTGGACATCCAGAATGGAGGATCATCCATATAAAAAAGTTGAGGGCTTGTTCGAACAAATGGATAAGTGTATTTGAAAGCTTTATCATGTCCATATTCTGTCTATTTGTTTGGTTTCTTTCAAAAACAAAAACTTATTAAAATGGACGTAATAAAGCTTTTAATTACACTTACTCATCTGTTCGAACAAGCCCTAAACATTATCTATGGATGATCCTCCATTCTAGATGTCCAAATTCGAGAAGGGCGTCTACATCCACAAGAGTTTGCATCATCAAATATCTTCTTTATAGATCTTGAGTTGGACATCAACGATTGAGATGAAAAAGAAGAAGTAGCTATTACAAAAGATCGAACACAGATGTCGTTCGTTTTTCTCTTCTCCAAGCCCTAAATCGATATATAAAGGGCAACTTTAATCTATTTATTCCATGCCATTAAAGATAATGTCATGTCGTTTGCCAACTTGTTGTATACCTAATGAATTTGGCTGTCTCTAATGAGAATTGAACAAAAACGTACGTTCGTTGAGTTTTTTTTCAACAAACAAAACATGATTGGGGTTTTGTGAACGGTTTTGAAGATACGTTGGTCTTGCAGTCATTTTTCGATATTTACTTACACGTCATAAGCCATGTCATTCATTGATTATCATTAGTAGATTGACCCTAAATGAGAAGTGTAAGTTAGTTGGGTTATTTAGACAAAATGTTAAGTTCATTTGGTTTTTTGAACAGACAAAACATAATTGGAGTTTTTTTTGAACGGTTTGGAAACTTCGTTGGTCTAATAATTCATTTTCCTGCAAGTCATTTTTCGATATTTACTTACACGCCATAAGCCATGTGATTCGTTGATTTTCATTAGTCGATTGACCATAAATGAGAAGTGTAAGTTAGTTGGGTTATTTAGACAAAATGTTAAGTTCATTTGGTTTTTTAAACAGACAAAAACATAATTGGGGTTTTTTTGAACGGTTTGGAAACTTCGTTGGTTTAATAATCCATTTTCCTATATATATATATATATATATATATATATATATATATATATATATATATATATATATATATATATATATATATAAAGGGTTAGGTTCATGTGAGACGACCTAATTTTGTGAGACCGTGAGATGCAATCCTAGCCATTCATTTGGTAGATAAAACAAAAAACATTTTTAAAATGCAAAATAATTGAAATTTTTCGGAAAAAAAATTTTCAAATATTATTTTCGGAATTTATGTTTTCCAAAAAAATAAAAAATAAAATATATATATATATATATATATATATATATATATATATTTTACATATTCTAATAGAATAAATATAAGATTCTACATATCTGAGAAATCTAGTATAATATTCTAACATTCTAAAAATCGTATTAAAATATTTACAGTCTAATATTTTATTAGAATATTTCACTTGTTTAAAAAAAATGATAAATTTTATTTATTTTTTTAAAATTTTTTTAGGTAATTAAAGTTCCGAAAATAATAATTAACTTTTATTCAGATTTTTACTTTTATTTTGCATTTTAAAATTATTTTTTGATTTGGTCTCACGGTTTCACAAAATTAGCATGGTCTCAAACGTGAGTTGTTATGTACCTAAGCTTATGTATAGAACCCTTTAAACGACATAATTTTAAACAAAACAAATCCAATTTTATTTTCTCTTTGTTTTCTTTTAATAGAATATCATTGAATTAAGTTCAATTATGGAATGAAAAATATAAATTATATATATTTTTTTTATTGCAAATAATTATTAAAGTTTATAAAGAATTTAAAAAACTAATATTTTTTTAACGCATATAACTTAAACGTTTTGTCTTTCAATTGAAAAACTATATCCAATAATTTTGAGAAAAGCTTAATTCAGTTATGACATATTCTTTTTTTATCTTTTATTATATTAGTTTCGTTTAGAATTTAGTAGGGTTGATTAAATGGTTACGACTTTTAATATTTTAAGTTTTTAGACACAATGAAGAAAAAAAAACATAAATTTGATCGATTTATTAAGTCAAATGATTAACGAAGAATAGTAAAAAAGTTATCGTGATTAGTTTGGATATAAATGGATCAAAATTATATTGTTTGGAGGGTTCTATATATAAGTTTAGGAACATGACAATCACATATTTCTTAAGCCCATATATATATATATATATATGAGGGCTCAATTGAGAAAAAAAAAATGTTAAGAATTGGGGAATCATTCTCAGTCACTCATTTATTTTTGCCGTAAAAGCCTCTGTCGTACCAGCAGAAATGGGAAAGGAATAGAAATGTGTTTTCCAACAAAACATGTTTTCTTAAACTATGCTAATCATTACCTTAATATATACAAAAAAAAAACATAGTTTTTTCGTTTTTTTTTTTTTTTTTAATTTTTAAGAAGTTATTTTTATCGAAAAAAGATTTTAAATATACCAAAATTCATGATTTTTTATTCTTTACAAATAGACATCCATATTGATATAGTTTTTAGATAAATTTTTTTTTTTTTTTTTTTTATATTTTCAGCAATTGTTATTCATAAGTGAATAAAAATGAATCAGGTTTTTACTACAGTACATTCGTTATTCAGTTATGAATAAAAACTATGATTATTATTATTATTATTATTATTATTATTATTATTATTATTATTTTTACAATTTAAATATCATTCATATATGAATATAGCATATAATAAACATAGTGTATTCATATTTAAATATTAGATGATGGATTCACTTCTGAATATTACATAGTAATTCACTTGTGAATACTAGATGGTATATTCACTTATGAATATTAGATACTATTTCCATATCTGAATATTACATAGTATTACATGGTATATCATATGTGAATATTACATATTATATTCATTTCTGAATATTAGATGATATATTCACTTATGAATATTACACAGTATATTCACATATAAATATTACACAATATATTTTACATATGAATATTACAAGATATTTTCAAAAATATATATAATTTTTATATGTTATTCACATATGAATAACATACAGACTTGCATATATATATATATATATTTTTTGTTTTAATAATCATATACTGAGAAAACATATTCATATATGAATATAACGTGGTAATTTAGTTTATGCATTTCATCAAACAGTTGGAGTGCATACAGTTTAACTTTTTTTTTAAATGTTAAAAACATGATATTTTGACTATTTAAATCTTACAAAAAGAGTAGATTGATAGAAAATTGTATGAAATTTTTCAAAACAAAAAAAAAAAAAAGATTTGATCTTTTTCTAACCTCAATTTTGAAGTTTTATTTGATAATCGATGTTGAATGAATGATATGAAGTGGATTTTGTTGATTATCGATGATGTTGATCTAATAACGCTGTGAGTATAATTAATCATAGATGTTGAAGATCTGATCGTATTCAAACACAATTGAAGGTTGAATTAAAAGAACCAAAAACGAATTTTTATTGTTAACTGTTGAATCGTGTTGATTATTAACGAAGATCGATAATTGATTAGCACTGGATGATGTTGATGATGGTTTAATTGAAGAAATCTGAATGATTGTTGAAAGTTGGAGAAAAAATTTGGATGATGAACTATGAATGAGTTTGAATTGTAATCTAATTCTCTACATATACGTATTTGAGATTGAAGGTTGTTATCATATTTATAAGTTTGTCACTGTATCTTTTTATGCTTAGATAAAATGAGTGGCTGAGAATGATTAACCTTTTTTTATTTTCTCAATTGAATCCACCTATATATATATATATATATATATATATATATATATATATATATATATATATTGAAGAGAAGTGAGTGGTGTCGTGTGGTAGTCGTCGTTTTCACGCGGACTCCGCTCCTTCTTCCATTGATACTTGTCCAGTTTTTGTTTCAGTTCTGTTTTCTTCTTCTGAACTTCAACTACACGCCGCTTCCTATCTTGAAACTACACGCCGCTTCCTATCTTGAAACTCCATCGGATACGATTTAGGAAGCAAAAATCAATGCATCAAGGCTCTTCAACGTTTTCATCGCAGAGGGATATGAATCCTCCATTTCCAGAGAACGAGCATCTCAATTGCCCTCGATGCAATTCCAGCAACACCAAATTCTGTTATTACAACAACTACAATCTCTCACAGCCTCGACACTTCTGTAAAAACTGCCGGCGGTACTGGACCAAAGGCGGCACTCTCCGTAACATCCCGATCGGTGGCGGCACTCGCAAAGTCACCAAACGCTCTTCAAATCCAAACAAACGCACATCGCCGACGACGCAACAATCACTGCCTCCACCACCTGCAGCACCTCCACTTCCGCAGAAACAGCAACCGTGTGTTGTTTATGGATATGGTGGTAATCAGCATATTGAATCCAATGGTGGAAATTTGAGCTCGGTGATGGGATCAAATCGTATGGGACCTTTTGGGAATTTGTTAATGGATGGTTTGAGTTCCAATCTGACGAGTAAATCCGATGATGATGTTTTGATCCGAAACCCAATTGCAGATGATTTTGGAAGCAGCTTTTTGGTCAGATTGAATGGTAGCAATAATCCGACCTCAGTGAGAGAAGAATCGAGCTGTTGGAGTCGGGGAGAGAATGGTTGGCCTGATCTTTCCATTTTCACACCAGGTTCAAGCTTCCATTAAATTAAGTTTTAATAGTATTAATTTACTCTTTTCAGTTTTCAGTTAAATGACATTATTTCATATGGATAAAAAAAACCCGGTTCACAACAGACAAAGAATCGGCTTTTTCCTATTATATCGATTGCTATAGCGGTTTCTTTTGGTTTGGTATAATGTATAATTGTATATTGATCGGTTCTATGATTTCGTAACACGTTTTTTAGGCTCCTAATTTACACAAAAATAATGATAAAAACTTGGCGAACTGAAAAAATATAAATAGCACGTACCAAATCGATAGAAAAAAATAGCACCTTCGAAACTTGGACCCACGTTGTCAAGTTATATCCGGAAAATTGTTCTCTAATTTTCTGTGTAATAATATTTTCGATGTATTTTTATGAAAAATCGAACTAAGGTTTCAAAATGTACATTATTATAAATTTAAGGTTTCAAAATGTACATTATTATAAATTTAAGGCTTCAAAATGTACATTATTATAAATTTATAATTTTATACATTAAAAAAATCGACAATAAAAGATACTTTTTGTTTTAAATACTTATATTTTTATTTGGACAATTGTAAATTTATGATACTGATTTTAGAATTTTATCTTTATTAGTTATAATTTTTTTTTTTTTTTTGACAACAGCAAATAAATATATATATATATATATATATATATATATATATATATATATATATATATATATATATATATATATATATATATATATATATATATATATATATAACCATATCAACATGATGCCGCAGAAGAATACAAAAGACATCTGAAAAACATAAGAGTTGCAAACAATAAAATATTTACATTCTCCAATCTATCTTTTTAAATGAAGTAGTATGGTTGCAATAAAACCTTTATCCTTTCCACAATCATTGTTGATTTCATGTAAACGTTCTCAAATATCCGTTTATTTCGGCAAATATATAAAATATATTTGCCGATCCATTTATATATTTTGTTTCGATAACGTTTTAATGTCATTTTCTATCCATAATTATTATTTTATTTTTGTTAAAGTTTCAATGTATCGTAATTGATAGTTTTTTATTCACCATTGAATTTATTTTATTCTTATCAATGAATCTATTTTTTGTGGTTTCTTATTAAAGAACTAGTTGTGAAACCTATATATTATAGGTGTTATTTAAAAAAAAAGTTAGATATAAAACTTTAAATATTTAAGAGCTTTAAATTTATAAGAAAATAAGAAAAATAATGATTTATTAAAATTGAAATGTTTTTTTATATTTTAAATTTAAATAAATAAACAAAAGAAATTAATAAATTTTAATTTGAGAATTTTGAAATTAAAAGGTACATCTATTAATGAAAATGATATCTATTTATTACTATATTTATTGTAATTATAAATTAAATTATTATATAAAATTTAATAAAATAAAAAACTCATAAAATGACAAGTGAAAAAAGATTAATTCAAAATAACCAAAAAATAACATTTAACAAATTGAATGAGAATGTGACATGTGACCAAAAAAAAAAAAAAAAAGAACATTCATTTATTAGAGTAAATTAAAAAATATATTTTCAACTTTCATAATTATAGCATAATAATTTGTTGTTGCGTTTGTTTGATTATGTTTGAAGAGTTATTACTGAAAGGGATAATGACTTAACAAGGAAACGAAGTTTCAAAAGTGTACAAAAAAGATCATTGTTGTTTTTTTTTGTACACAAAATACCATTTTACCGGCTATTATAAGTTATCTGGTTTCCAAATGTTCAAAAAATACCATTGTTGTTTTTTTAGTACAAAAAATACCATTAATGTTACTATTTGTACACAGAATATCAACAAAATACACATGTGTTCAACTAAAACATTGTGGTAACCAGGTACTTCAGATAAATGGGATGAGATGAGCGTAATCAGCAAGTGCTTGTTTAATTTTTGTTGAAATTGTTGGAAAAGATCTTACTTCCACCGTATGATCAGTCGAACAAGATTACAGGTGATGCTTCGGCTGATAAAATTTTCTTCAAATCGGTGATGAGAAGAGCGTAATCAGCAAGTGCTTGTTCGGCTGTTAGATAGGCTAAAGTAGAAGCATTCTTGTATGACTCTTTCTGGCTTCCATATGGCATCGATTCACCATAATATCGATGCTAGATCAAATCACGCAACTTTTGATAAAATTGTATTATTAAAGGTCTGCAAGTGAACAAATTAATGTAGAGTAGAGTGATTAGGGCTTTTACTTCGGGGAAGATGACCATGGCACCAAAACGAGGGGCGAGTTCCCAAACGAAGTCGATCTTGGCAACGAACCATACGATGTCGCCTTCGTTGCCGCAATAAAGGAAGATTAGGCCCAAACGACTAGGGCATGGGCCCACCCACTGATCGGAGTTGATGAGATAATGTTGTTGGAACTTGGGAAGATCAATGAAACTGAAATGATCAAGAGTCTGATCAAAGTATCGTGTCTCGTAAGTGTACTTCGGCTGAACAAGAATTTTTGGGTTTTAAGAAGCCGTGGGGATTTGCCTAAAAACGGAGGTGGCCGGTGAGATTCCGGCGTTGATGAAAGTAGGCAGATGATTAGGAGAAAGAATAAGAAAAAGGGTTTTACCATGGTGGTGGAGGGTGGTGATGAACAACAGTAGTGGCCGAAGTGAAGTGGAGGGTTCTTTATAAAAAATAGCTAAATTTCCATTACATTCAAAGAAGGAAAAATGACTTAAAAAGGTAACGAATTTTTAAAAATGTACAAAAAAGACTATTGTTTTTTTTTTTTTTTTTGTACACAAAATATCATTTTACCGGTTATTGTAGGTTACCCACAAGGTATTATTTGAACACATGTGTACTTCATTGGTATTTTGTGTATAAAAAATATACTTTAATGGTATTTTGAATACTAAAAATAAAATAATGATATTTTTTGTATATTTTTGAAACTTCATTACCTTTTTAATTATTATCCCTTACTGAAAATCACGAGTTTATTACATGGAATGATGGAATCCGACCTTTTTAGGAGTTTAGATGGAAACAAAAAAAATAGTATTTTGGGAAGATGTAAAAAAAAAAAAAATTAAAAAGCAGTAAAGTTGCTTTTGTCGTCAACCGACGTTTTACTTCCAAGGATCACTCATTTGATTTAAATTACAAAGACATAAATAAACTTCAACTAATAAAGAAGCGTATTGAAGTCGTTGAAAATCATCTATATTAAAGTAATTATTGTTTCGATATCATTTTCTTGCTATAAAAAAAATGATTCTTGAATTATTCTATTTTAAAGTTGTGATCTCATTTTCTTACTATACTTATTATTGTATTGATCATCCACGAATTGAAAGAGACAGACTCGCCACGTTGCCAGTTCAACGCCCTATTTCTCAAACTTCGAAGAAAAAAAAAACACTCGGCTCTTATTTTTAACCTAAGAAATGTTGAACTCAACTGAATTTGAAAAACTACACAAGTACAGAAGCACATACGGTATATCCAACTTTCATTATTAGAGGTTGTTTCTTGCTCACTTAATGGACTTAACAAGTTATGTACTTAAGCTGGAAAACTATATATGGTAGTTTTTTATTTATATCTCAGAAAAACGAATTAATAGGTTAAGCCAAAAAAATTGCTTAATGTATTAGAGGATATTTTAAGCTGTCGATTTAGTCGGATATTATTGATTTAAAGCCTCTAAGAGGGCATATCACAGAACAGGTCCACAGCCCATGCATGATATGAGGGGGAGTGAGTTGATGGACCACAGTCGACACTAACTACAGTAAGGCATGTAGGCCTCTCAACTCACATGCGTTAGGGCCCAACATATTTGAGTTGGAATATAAATATAAATAAAATAATAATAGTTATTACTTGCGCCCAAATCCACTTCTCAAGTCAATTTTCAAACTTATTATTATGTCAACTCAACTCAACTCAACTCTCACATAGACATACCATTAAAACCAAAAGCTATATTTTAACCTATTCACCTAAAAACAAAACGACGAGATTTGTTTTTTAATTGGGAATTAGGCAACCATTCTGTATGTGACATAACAGATCTCCTGTTTAGGGTCTTTTTTGTTAGAATCAAAATCATCCTTGTCTTTCTCACTTGTTCCTGTCTCAATTGGTCTCAGAATTTTAACAACCTGCCCTCTCCTTAACCCGTAATATTTTGCAATTGGATCTGTATGCAAAATCCGAGGTAGCTGCAATAACCAATTCCATAATATGAAATGGAATCACAAATCACTCAAATCAAATATTCATATTGATTTGTGGACAAGAATAATGAATAACTGACCTGTGCTTCTTTGACAGTGTATCTATCCAGCAATTCTTTCTTTTCTTCTTTGGTAAGTGGGATATGTTCAGGAACAAGGTAATGATATCTAATGTTCACCAACAACTCACCTTCCTGTATCAAAAAACACACTCCATTAAAATAAATATCATCTATCCAATTGAATCCAATATGGAAATATGAATATAAATCACCTGAAAAACATCCATCTGGTACATTCCTGCAATCTCCGCCTGAGATGCCTTGGCTGAGGGAGTCATACCATGTCGAACCACTATGATTGCTCTATGAATGTTCTCATCTCTCATAAGAAACATATACGCCTTGATTACCTTCACACCAATCTTCAGCTCGTTTGGAAAGAAAACATAGATCTGAAAATCATCATCATATACCAAAAACATTCATCATCTCCATCTTTGAAAATTGAAATATACAACGCAATCAGAAGGCTCACTGGTTCGGTGTTGTTTGGTTTGGACTTGGTGAAAGCAAGCTCTTCTCTTCTAATGGTGCCGTTGTGTTTCTCAACGAATTCCTTTCTCGTCATGTTTATCTCTGAATCTTCAACTTCGTAGCCACGGTCTTTCAGCATCTCGTAACATGTTTTCATTACTCTGAAAACTGTTGTGATCTCTTCTCCTTCCGGTGTAGACATTGATTGCTTCAACTTTTCAATTCACCGAGATATATGATTTTCTGGAAATCACACCATTCTTCAACGTGTTATTTTACTATTATAAAACGATTCGCGACTATGAATGGATTAGCGAAATTACCAGAAACTAGCCCTAAGTCATGAACGTGATTGATATCGGAAGATTAATGAAAATCAATTTACAAGTCGCCATGAATCATACAAAGAGGCATAAAGCATAACAAAGTTAAAGCGATTGGTGACCAATCTATTAGATTACGCTTATCGAATCGATCAACTAAAGTTGCAAACGCAGAGGTGAGCATCGCCAACAACAACGATAAACGCCTGTCATCTTCTTATCGATTGATATGATATTCACAATTGAATGATTAAAAAACGTAATGAAGATTTCTTACGTTAAACAGAGAAATAATGAAAAAATGAGAAACGTTCTTCAGTCACTACGACCAAAGAAAGTTATCAAGAGGGTCAAACAGAGAAACAGAGGGAGAAAGAAAAATGTTATTCCGTCATACCTGTACAGGTAGGAAAATGGCGGAAGACGGAGGACTGAGAATTGACGAAGCGTTGAAAGCACGCAAGACCGCCGGAGCCGGAGGCACTGATTTTTACGGCGAGGATGGAAGCGGAACCCTCGCTTTTCTGGGCCTTTATGGTTTATACTAAGAATAACGAATTTTCCATTTAAACGTCATATTGTCTCAACCCATTTAAATGTATTTTAGTGTGGCCAAATCTAATAAGGCCCAATTTAACTATATCCTTACAAAATTTAAATATATCTTTATAAATTTTAAAATTATATTTATATCATTTCAAACTTAAAAAAATCACATTTATATAATTTAATTTTAAATATATCAATTCAATATTGAAAAACTTATTTAAATTTCAACATTCCATATAAATTTACTAAAATACTATTTCCATATTAAATCATAAATTAAATATTAGGCATGCTTATTGTATCTGTTTTGATTGATTCATTATCACTTTGATTAATTAATATGCCCTACAATATCAAAGAACGAACATGCGACCGTTGTTTAATTTTTTTGTGTTCTATAACTTTCCATGGGCAAATAGATCTTGGATGTTTCATGGTGCACAAATAAAATTTTATATTATCGGCGCACAAGTTTATTTAATTTAGGTTTGTACGTTGAAATATACCTGATTCAATTTTTGGTTGCTCATGGAATCATATGTCAACGACTATGTGTATTATTTATTTTAATAAGAAATTGAGGCCATATAATATCACCAAACCTATGCTTGTTGGTTTGTGAGTTTGATATGACTTTGTATTATTAAGAATAATCAATTTATTTTGTCAATGTTTCAGTCGCAAGTTTGATAACTTTCTGCAACAGTTTGGGTGTAAGGCGAATGGAGAAGAAGAATGTGTTGGTTAATATTTAATTTGGAAAGGGTATTTTAGTAAATTCATATGAAATTTTAATTTTAGATAAGCTTTTGAATATTAAATTCATATAAATCAAATTAAATTATGAATTTGGATATAAATGTAAATTTTATAGTTTGAGAAAGATATATAAGTAAATTTAAAATTTATAAGGATATAAAAGTAATATTTAAAGTTTGTAAGAATATAAATGAAATTATCCCATTTAACTATGTGTTTTTTTTTAAGTTTTTTTTTTTAATCATTATAATATGTTGCTTTTGATTTGTTATTCAAATCGTGTATAAATCTCTAGTCACTTGTTTTCTTTTATTTCTTTTACATATTTAACCGTATATTTTATATTATTATAATTTTTGACTAGTTAACTTATTTTGTTATATACTAGGTGTGAGATCCATGTATTACATGGGTTTATTTAAAAAAAATTAAATATGAAATTTAACAATTTGAAAAGTTTGAATTTATAAGAAAAATAAAAAAAATTTTGAATTATTAAAATTAATGAGACTTTAATGTATTGAATACATTATATATATATATATATATATATATATATATATATATATATATATATATATATATATATATAAACTATTTCTAATAAATATCTTACATATATATCACCTTACATATTAAATGTGGAATTTTAATTTAATGAAATGAAAAATAAATAAAATGACAAGTGGAAAATAAAAAAATTTAAAAATTTTAGAAAATGTCATGTGTCCAAATAAAAAGAAGAGGATATGTGGTAAAAAAAACTTTCATTTATTACAATAGATATAAAAAACAAATGCATTGAAGTAGTTTTGTAATAATAGATAAGGTCGGTTGTGAATATTTTGGAACGAAAAATTAGAAGAGATGAGGATAAAGTAGGGTTATTTGTTGACATGTTTTTGAAAATGTTAATCAATGAAAGAATGTTTATGATAATATGTTTCTGTTAAATAAATACTAATGGAAAATAATATGATAAAAATACTAAGTCTTTTAAAGGTCATGCTTTAAACATGCCAAAATGGTTAGATCGAACAATTGAGCAACACGTTAAAATGGATTCAAATCAATGAATATTAATTCCAATATTATAATATTGGTATGTGTTCTGGTTCATAAAATGTTTTTAAATCGATCAACTTATTCTAGTATCATCATACAACAAAATAGAAATCTTTTTAAACTTTTCACAAACCACTTATTGGGTAATAATTAGAATTATTGTAGTCGATAGAAAGTAACAATTTTATCTAAATGACTATTTCTGAAGAATTAATTATTAGATGAATCGAATTTCTCACCTAGATAATGATCCAGCATGTCCTCATCATCTACAACCAAACAGACGTTATAATCAAAACAAATTGCATATATTTCCAAGTATTAAAATAGAAAAAAAGAGAAAATAACCTTCAGAATCATCATCAAAATCATCATCATCGTCTTCATCATTAGATCCTTCCATGATTGGTATTGCATGATGTCTCTGCCAAAAGTTACAATATAAAACCTATGTCATCGTCACATCATTGTCATATAAGTCATCAGTGCCACGTCAGCGTAAAGTTATAAACATAATAACTTACTGAAGAAGCTCTTCCACTTTGGAACCACTGTCTTCCAGTAAGTTTCTTTTCTTTGGTTGTTGCAAGGGTTGATTCTGTCAACACTCTGAAAGTCGGAGGGTAATAAGTAATACTTATATAAATTGTGGAAAATAAACAAAATATGTTACTTACTTGGCTCTCTCAAGGGCTACCTCTGCTTCAAATTTTTCTCTCCATGCCAAAAATGTTTCAACAGTAACAGGTTCTCCACGTGGCACAATTATCTAACACCAGGTTCACCCATCAAACTTAACAATTGTATATAAAAACCCAAATTGCAAATGAAATTTTATTATAGAGTAAATTACAAATTTGGCCTTATGCTTTACTCAAAACCGCAAGTTTGGTCCGATTTTTAAAATCATCCTTAAGTTTGCATTTTGTTGCAGATATAGTCTCGCTAATAGTGAACTACAAATCTTAAATTGGATCAAACTAGAGATTTGGGTAAAGCACATGGACCAAATTTGTAACTTAGTTTGTTGTAATATATTCAAAATCATACTTCATCCTTATTTGTTGTTTCCTCTTCGATGTTGTCATTATCAGTGTCTTTATCAAATCTTTCAGTAAACCACTCTTTAGCAGATGTAACTAGAGTGTAAATCATAGCCATTCCAAGATTATCTAATGCCTAAAAAAATCAATTTTAAATGAGTAGTAGTTGCATGAGGTGAATAATAATAACATTGTTATGGAATAAGTGAATACTAAATGAATATCATTGATTAATGGAAAAAATAAAGTTTCATGTGATTTTTATATGTGTGCATGTATACTAGATTTTTGTATATAGTGTTACTTAACTCATCTTGAAGCTTGTTTATTGGATCATGAAGTTATGAACTAATTAGTTTACTCTTACTCAATTCAATGAAGCTAAAAACATACTCACAAGAAATAATATCAGAGCTATATTGGGATTTGCAAAAGAAAAGTGGCAATTAAATAATGTTGTTGAGCAATTATATTTACCTCCTGTTCAAGCTTTTCTTTTAAAAATTTGAGATCTGATGAGGGGATTCCTTTAATACTGAAATAGGTTAACTCTTTAGGTTAATAAAACATTTATCTATAATAATGTGTCAAAGTGTAAGATCGAGAAAGATGTAGCGAGACACCTTTTCAAATTCAAAAGTGGAATTTCATCTGGATATTTCTCAGTGTGTGAAAAAATTAACCCCAATTGAACTGCAAAAAAATAAATAAATAAATAAATAGCAAATTGGGTTTTAATAATGTAAGCATCTTTGAATAGTAAACCTGGAAAAAAAATGATGTCTAGTGTAAGACCTGGACTTGTTGAAGATTCATCTGTCTCGTCATCCTGTTACATAGAGAATAATAACATATTTAGTTATATATAATATATTTCAAAGAAGAAATAAAAGGAATTTCTGGTATGTAATTATTACCTGAAGAGATAACTTAATTAGAAAACATCGATTTGAAGTGTTTAATCTACTTTCACTAGGGTGAATTTCTGGAGTACACAAACATGTTTGATTTTTAAAATTAAAGATGATTGATTATTTATAAAACGAAGAGAGTTATTGCACAAACCTTCAAACTCATCCATTAGGATGGCCTTTAGGGCTTCAATTTCCATCTCTTGCTCTTGCACATGATCTGTCATAAGCATTTCAATAAAGAGCTCATGGGCCTTAATGATGTTCATGATGACCTAAAGCTAGTTAATGATGAGTGTCTTCCGTATCCAAAATCAATAGTTTTTATCAAATTTGAACTCCTTTTTCAACCAATAGAAATCATTCATGTAGTTCGTTTAGTTCGCTTATGCAAGATCAGGTTTAATATGCTCAAACTTCAAAGCAGCCATTGTTCCAAATGATGTATAATAGCACGTTTTAGTGTGTTAGTGTGCATACATCCATGACTATATCTTATTTCCTGCTCTTTTTCTCTGTTTTTTGTTGGCAATCAAGTTCGAGATAAACCCAAAATATCTCTAGTTGGATCAACAAAACATATGCATATGATTATGGTAAAATGACGCCTACACTCATTGCTAACGGTAATCTTAACAATTCATATAAACTAATCGAATAGAGATGCCGATGAAGTGATGATAGTCTTAATTTCCCCAAAATCATCTCAACTTTACTTTAATCGTTGTCATGTGATCGAAAAATAAAGATACAAACATACCACGCCATTGAGAACGGTAAAGTTACAGATCAGACTTATATCAATTAAAGTTTAGCGAAACTATTTTAGGCCAATCGATCTCCCAATAACACAAACCAAATGTTATAGAATTTACAACTTCTTTCAAAAGAGGAAACCTAGATCATCTTAATATTTAATTTTTTTATCTCAAATGGAATTCTAAGGAATTACCTGTCATCTCTACGTAATAGTTGTTCTTTCTCTTTCTTTACGTAATAGTTGTTCTTTCTCTTTCAAATCTCGTATTGTCTAGAGTTTTCTTACGTCGGGGTCGAGAGATTAGAGACGCACAACAACTGATCAAACTGATTCGTTCCAAACGTGTACATTCGCTTCATATGCATGTACGGTACTAAACTTAAAAAAAGAGTACATAACACACCCTTCTATATTCCTTTAGACGCAGAAAATTGTTTTTGTTTGGGTAAATGTCGCTGAAACCCAACGAACTTTTGCCTTTTGGTTTAAAAGGTCCCTTATCTATTTTTTTTGTTTTGTAGTGTAGGTTAATAAACTATGAAAATTGGTATAAAAAACGTCATTATTTCAAATGTGAAGGGGTAAACCGGTTGTTCTTCTTAGTTGGCATCTTGATCATCATATATGGTCCATGTGGCATGCTGAGAACGTCCACATGGATTTTCTATAATAAATATAGTTTTATTAAATTAAAATAAAATAAAAACAACCCATATCTTGAACATCTCCTAAACATCTATAGTTTGCCCCATCTTCAACCTTGACCGCGGTGGATGCAAGGTATGAAATCCTTCTCTTTCACACCTCCAAATCCAACCTTCTACGCCACTTCAACAATGTCGAAGTAGCTCCTCGACCATATAGTATTTTGCTCAGATGAGAAGCGGGTAATATATCCATAAATCGAGCATAAAAACATCAAGGTACAGCTCTTGCAAGTGTTTGGAATCTCACTCAGCTTAAACATTTGGAGCTCCAATGCAAGAACATATGGGATCATGCCTAGCTGTATTTGCCAACATAATAGGAAAAATAACCCGATTTTTTGGGTCTGATGAATTTTTAGGTCTTGATACTTGCATTTGGCGTTGAATCATCTCGAAGGTGAGGTAATATGTTTATCAGGCTTGTGACTTTAATCGTTATGAGTTAAAAGTCTGAAACTCAACTGAAATATTGAAATTTTACTCAACATGGATCATTAGATTTGTAGGGATAGACCTAATAGAAATTAAAATAAATTAGGAACCTGGCACCTAATCATCGCCGAAGGATTTGTTCGTTGACAGTCTAAGTTCTTTAGTTCGAAGAAGATCATAGTCGAAGAATTTGTTCGCCGACACTCTAAGTTCTTTAGTTCGAAGAAGATTGATAATAAACATAGATGATTTAAAAAGTTGTGTGGTGTGATATTAGTGGATTCAATATTGGATGAGAACAATTTGTTGTGGTATTTGAGGTGGATGGATGGAGGGGTAAATCGGTAAGAGTTCTAAAACAGAGAGAATGAATATGTTTTTTTTTCTTCGTTTTTTAGAGATGGAACCATCATTACACATTGGGAAAGAAATACGAAGAGGGGAGAAAGAAGAAGCATTGCAGTAGACTTCGCATAGAGAGAGAGAAAGAGAAAGAGAGAGAGAGAGAGAGAGAGAGAGAGAGAGAGAGAAAGAGAGATTTGTTACACAAAAAGTGAAAAAAAAAAGTCATGTAATATTTAATCTGTGAAACTGAGAAAATGCATTCATTACCCCTATTTAACAAGTAAATTCTAAGTTTAGTTGTTTATATATATATATATATATATATATATATATATATATATATATATATATATTATAAAACTAGCATTTTCCTTTGAACGACATGCATTTGAAACTCTCAAGACTATTCAACTTACACAAATTAATTCATGATTAATTGAAATATTATAATTTGTAACTCTTAAAACTCTTCAAATCATGCTATTTGATTGATGAGTTAAATGAAATGTTTACTGTATATAAGAAATTTGTAGATTACATATTGCATGTATGTCAACACAAAATGATATATTATATTTATAGGGTTTGAAGAATTATATGAGTGGTTCCATGGATGTAAGAAAGCAATTGCAACTTTTGCAAGTGTAAATTCATGTAAACTCAAATTGGGCGCATGTAAAGTTTTAGATATTAACAAATGTTCAAATTTAGGTATGTTTGTAAAGGTATACTTGAGATCATTTTTTATGTTTATGTGTTATGCATCTTTCTATACTCATAGGATGATGAATGTGATTAATAATTACTTCTCATGAGCTTTTGGTAAATCCATCATCAAGCTATTTATAAGTTAGAGCAATTAACTTTGTTAACATGTATGTATCTTTATGTTGTCTCTCTCTTTTTTATGTTAAGAAAATATATTTCATGTACAAGAGAACATTATTCAACACGTGTTTTATAAATTAAAGCAATTAACTTTGTTAACATGTATGTATCTTTATGTTGTCTCTATCGTTTATTTTTTAAATAACATTGATGAAGTTTTTTATAATTGATTTTGATGAAAAGAGTTTACAATTATTATTCCAAATTGTTGGTGATAATGATGAATTAAAAGAAATGTTTGTTAATATGACATGATTTTATTGTTGAAAACCAATAATTATGTTTGTTATAAAAATGAATTATTTATGTTCTACCAAAAGTTATATGGATGTACCTAATTTTAAATCTTTTTATAGTAATGAAAAATAAATTATCTTATTACATTTGTCAAATTTTTTTTTCTATTCATTCTTTATCGTAAATGAAATATAAAATAAATAAAATATTTATATTTTCATAAAAAATTATAAGTGATCAAAATATACCTCAAGTATAACACTCCTCCTCCCCTAATCCACTCTTAACATATTGTTTTTAAGATTATTCGCAGTACATAACAATTTCTATAGTTTTAAAATTCAAATTACCATTTTATTTGGATCGTTCATTCTCTCACAATATTTTATAACTTTAAATAAAAAAATTGAAGTACAATAAAAAAGTATGATAGTTTTTTTTAATAAAATAACGAAATTTTTTCAAATAAGTAGTTTTTAATTAATAAAAATCATGGTTGCAGAAATCGCTAATCGATGGACTAGCGATTAGGGATTAATCGGCTAGGCGGGGATTAATCGGAAGATTAATCAGGGATCATTAATTATTAAGAAAATTATTCAAAAATTTATAAATCTAAATTTAATCCTACAAAAAAAAGTGATTAATCGGCGATTAGGGTCGATTAGGTCCGACTTTGACTTGCATTGACCAAACCCGATTAGGTCCGATTAAGTCTGATTAGGCCCGATTAGGTCCGACTTTGACCTGTATTGACCAAACCCGAATATAGTGACCGATTAGCAATAAATCTCATCGGTGGAGGTCCGATTAGCGATTAATCCGCCGATTATGCCGATTTCTGCAACACTGGTAAAAATTAATAATTGTTTAAAACAACGTAAAACTAAATAATAGACTATATTATATGAATAAATATTTATTATTTGAAATAATAATAATAATAATAATAATAATAATAATAATAATAATAATATAGGAAATAAAAGATATTCAAATAAATTATTTATAAATTAGTGAAAAATAAGTATACGTTAAAATAGTTTTAAATCAAAAGCACAATTCAATCTGATTCAAACACAATTTTTTTATATATATTTCTTACGGTATACTTAAAATTATTATAATATTAGTTACAACTTAGTATAAAATTTATTATTTCAATGATAAATACTTATAATATTATTTTTTATAACATATAATTGTTAATATTTATATTAAATTATTGGTCACAAATCAAGAGTTTAAAACTTTCACTACAACTCAAAAGTTTTTATTTTTATTTTTATTTTTTATTTTTTTTTAAATGTAATTATGATTTCAAATTTAATGTAATTTTCCTTTATATTTTCCACTATATTTAAAAGCTTTTTAAACTTATGGTTATTAATGTGCAATGTTTTTTTTTTCCGTTTATTTATTATTCACATTGTAGCTATATTAGTAGTATATAAGTAAGCTTGATTAAAAAATCATTTGTTTGAAAAGATTTGTGATTCAAAATGAAAGAGTGGGAAAAAATAAGTTTTATGGTATCAATGGTTATTTCAATACAAATTTTTTATAAAAATGTTTCTATATATCAAATGTATTTTGATTTTTAAATATTCATTTTGAATGATTTATAAGTGTTTAATAAGTTTGGTTTGATATAAATGTCATAATGTTTTAGTGTTTTTATTTTATTAAAACCTATAGTGTTTTTCATACTATTTGTTATTTTTTTTATATGCATATCGACATACATTTTATATATATTTTCTACAACTTAAAGTGTTCAATAAAATCATCAAAAGTTGTAGTATTTATTTTTTCACACTATCTGTTTTTTTATACATAGGATTCAATATATGTTTGATATATAATTTAGACAACATAAAACGGTCTATCAAATCATGAATTAATAGGAGAAATAACTAATGATATAAATTTATTAAAATTAATAAAACTAATATGTAAAATTGGAAACTGGACCTGAACACTTTCTTGTTGAATAAAGAAGTTAAAGTTTTATTTAAAAATATTCCCTCATTGAAAAAGGGGATTCTGAATTTTACCTTTGAGTCTTAAATTTCTTTAGCTCAACATCAATGTAAAATTATCGATATATAAAATCCATCGTCTTATGTGCATTCATTCTTTATTATTATGACAGAATGGAATCTTAATTTCACGTCATGAAATCTCAAATTACTTGTTAAGATTTAATGGTATAATTTATGTATTTATTTATTTATTTTTTGTAAATTTAGTCACATTCATATATTTATTAATTACATATGATGTATGTTTCATCAAATGGAGTATAAAGATATGAGCATCTGATTTTGCCAGCCAAATGTTTGAATAATATATTTCAGCCAATTTTTTTTTGTAATCTCTGAACTATCATACCTCTCTCATATTAGCTTGGAATGATCTGAATTTTTTTTTCTGCATATTCTCCTTTGTGTTAACTACAAGTTAGGTTCCAAAATCATTTTAATTGGATTAATATTGGCTGAGTTGTAGTCCTTCGAACATGGGATGTTACAACTGTATTCTATGTATTATATCAGAATGTATTCTACCAGAATAAAATCGATGTATTTTATCAGAATGTATTATATGTATTCTTTTATATTCTACCGGAATATATTAATTGATA